GCTCATTCACGGCTTACGCATCACGATTTGTTGACCCTTCGCTTGGTTTCGCCTCCGGTTGGATTTACTGGTTTAGTTGGTCATCGACTTTCGCTCTCGAGCTAGTCGGCTCTGGTCTTGTTATTCAGTATTGGGATAAGACCCTTAATGTCGGTATCTTCATCGCTATATTTTGGGTCGTCTTCACAGCCTGTAATTTGCTGCCGGTCCGCTGGTTCGGAGAGTTCGAATCATATTTCGTGTCTATCAAAGTCATCACCGTCATCGGCTTCATCATCTTCGCCATTTGCATCGATGCGGGTGCTGGCCAGCACGGTTACATCGGGTTCGATGCGTGGGTCCATCCGGGCCCCTTCGCCGAATACATAGTCCCCGGGAATAGCGGCAAGTTCGTCGGATTCTGGTCGGTTCTCGTCACTGCAGGATTTTCGTACCAGGGCACAGAACTTGTGGGTGTTGGTGCGGGCGAGACGGCGAATCCCGCGAAAACTGTGCCGTCAGCCATCCGATGGACGTTTTGGGGCGTCTTTTCACTTTTCATAGCGACGATCTTCTTCATTGGTATCACTGTGCCCTCCAACAACCCGAGTCTGCTCACCAATGCCAGCGACGCTTCGGCATCACCTCTCGTTATTGCAGCCAAATTGGCCGGTGTGCCTATCCTCCCACACATAATCAATGGGGTTTTGCTCACCGCGGTGCTGTCGGCTGCAAACTCCAACGTATACTCGAGTAGTCGGATAATGGTCGCGCTGGCCAGGGACGGGCATGCGCCGGCTTTCTTGGCGCGGGTCAACCGCTTTGGTACGCCCCATTACGCCGTCGGCTTTTCGGCGATTATCGGCCTGCTTGCTTTCCTGAACCTATCGTCTAGCGGAGGCGAAGTTTTCGACTGGCTGTTAAATATCACGGGTATAGCCGGATTTATTAGCTGGTGCTCCATCAGCATCTGTCACTTAGTTTTCAGTACGTATTGTGTTCCCTTATCTCTTGTCTTAGCAAAGTTTTTGCTTCAACCTACCTATGCAAACTCCCAACCCGCACCCACCCAAACCACCTGAAGCAACACATTATACACTGTAATTCCTAACACCTAACCTTCTCTAGTGCGAGCTCTCAAATCCCGAAACATATCGCGCGATTCGCTAGTCTTTAAAGCACCGATGCAACCTTGGTTAACCATCTACGGACTTTTTTTCTGCATCCTGATTCTCCTCACAAACGGCTTCACAGTCTTCATTCAGTGGAGCACGAGCGACTTCTTCGCGGCATACATCAGTCTCATCTTATTCATTGTTCTTTACGTAGGACACAAGGTAGTCTTCCGGACACGGTTCGTAAATTCGGCCGATATAGATCTTGAACGCGATCGAGCAAGATAAGTAATAGAGGGTAGCGTTTTGCTTAATAAGTCATAGTTATAGCGAATGATAAAAAATTGTTCGGTCTCATGGGGGCTATTGATTGGGAAGTTCAACATACCCCGTGCAGTATCAAACATCGAGGTAAACAATGCGGGTGACTGATTCTTAATCTCCTTCTTCGTGAAGCTGATCCTTCTTTTTCGTCATGAGTAACGTTATACTATCGTCATCCATCGTGTAGTTTGGCCTTCGTCATAACTATCTCGCGCATTCGAGCTGAGCAAGAACTTCATGGTATGTGCAAGCCAAACCCCTTACAGATCTTGACCCTCTTCGTAGGTCGATATGCCCCGCGAATCATCCCGACGATGTTCATTGCATAAGCGTTCATAGATATTGCGACGATATAATAGAATGGAGGATCAGATCACTGTTTGAAACGATCTCAAGAAAGCCAGTGGCTTGGTTCTAAGCATGTGCTAACCTTAAAGGAACATGCCTACAAAGGCAGCTATAAATATGATGCAGGACTAGCATTCTTCCAATGGGGAAGCTTGTTTCAGCTTTAGGGCGATTTAGATCCCTGGGAGCGGACAGCCAATCAAATCTCGCCGACCTTCCATTTTGGTCAACCACGCATGAGCGACGCCCTAAACAGTCGCCTCTAACGTCACTATTGAGACACCTAGGTGAGTGGGATGTAACTGTGGAATGTATATTAATTCCAACACCGGGTGTCAATTTGCTGATCCAACAGATAAGCGTCTTCAAATGCTGTAAGCAGGTGCTATTATATAGAATACTGAATTGAGAAATCATGTATAGGAATCGACAGACATTCTTGCCAGAGCCGAGCCCAAAGATCAGCAAGATCCCCTCCTAATCATCGCAGTCAGACTGAACGCAGGCTTTCGGCGGTATTATTAGAGCCCGGCCAACTTAGGGTGTACATCTCTAGATGTATTTGGCAGGCGCTTGTGGAACAGGAGGGCCTAGGATTCATCGCGCCCAATCATGACATAACCCATACATCTCTGTGTACTACGTGCCTACCCCTTGTGCTTCGCAAAGAATCTCGAGAACCAGAGGGATTCTCTTTCTACCTTTCATACTATGTGCTAATTGTGCTGCGTCACATTTTCGCTTCGCCCCTAGCTACCTCGTGTCTTCATTCTTTCTTCTTTGCTTCGTTCATTGAATTGAACGCCGTTTGGTCTGGTTCTCCTACATTGCTTGCTATTGTTTGCGCTTAGACCCTGCGCACTCTCTTTGTCGCTACTCTAAAGCGCATATAGAATAAGCTGTGGCCAAGTACGATGCGATTTTTGCGGATATCACCACTAGCAGTTGTACATCGCAGGATTTTGATTTTCGCTTCCTTTTTCACGAGTGGCAGTTAGACTTACGGGTCCGCCCTTGTCACCTCGTCAAATTCCGTACTCGATTTTTCTCCTCCTAGCTTTATCACCGAGCTGCCGCGACTATGTTGAAGGACCTTGTTCATGCTGCCGCGCCCAGCGCGGCATCGATAGCGCCAAAGGACCTCGATATCAATAACCCTGGTCCGTAGATTCAATCACCATATTCGTATAAGGTCAAATAACAAGCATCAACTTTATTATCTAACTATGATGCAGATTCAATTAAGTCGGTAGCTAGTACAATCGCTTATGGGACCATGAGCTACTACACTGGAAATATAACGAATACTCCGACGGTACGTATATCATATCTACCCCCTCAGAGTGTGAGTTCAATAGGGCTAATTATGCTGCATAAGACCATTGCGATATTTCCTCCACCTCACTGTAAGAGCAGCGTTATTTTTTCTTTTGCAAAAACTCATTCCGACTTACTTTGTTTCATAATAGACTGGTGGCAAGCTGGTGCTTGTTGGGGCGCAATGCTAGACTATTCGCACAATACCGGCGACTCTAGTTACGATGAAGTGATTACACAGGCACTTCTAAGTCAGGTCGGCCCTAACTTCGATTTCGTCGATCCGCTCTATGCTGGTTCTGAGGGCAATGACGATCAAGCTTTCTGGGCCTTTTCTATTCTAGAAGCCGCTGAGCGGAACTTCCCCCAACCGGATGACTCTATACCCCCATGGTTGCAAATAGCGGAGAATATATGGAATTCCATGGTCGCCCGGTGGGACGACAAAACTTGCGGCGGCGGCTTGCATTGGCAGATCTATGCTAGTAACCCAAATGGTCTCGATTACAAGAATTCAGTATCCAACGGCGGTTTCTTCCAGATGTCTGCGCGTCTGGCACGAGCAACTCACAATGAAACCTACCTCGACTGGGCAGAGAAGGTTTGGAATTGGTCAAAGAAGATCGGGTTTATCGACGAGAACTTCAATGTGTTTGACGGTGCCAGTTCGAAGGAGGGGTGCAAGGAGATCAATCACGTCAGCTTCTCCTATTCGCAAGGCATTTATATGTATGGGGCAGCAATACTCTTCAACTACACCGACGGGAACCAGACTTGGGCCGACCGGACAAACGGCCTCCTACAGGCCTCCCGATCATATTTTAGTCCATTTCCAAACGCTACGAATATCATGTACGAGCATGCTTGTGAACAATACGATTCATGCAACACAGATATGAAATCCTTCAAAGGCTACCGTAAGTACCTCTCCTAATTAACATTTCCCTGCTTGCATCTGGCAATTTCACCAGGTCGAGGGTCTCATTGCCGGGCGCGCGACGGTATCTGAGGGTTTTGCTATACCCCTAGACACGTACACCTTGTGACTGAGATAACGAAAACTGACTCTCAATGCTGTAGTCTCTCGCTTCATGGCCGCAACGACGCAGATGATGCCTTCGACTCGTAAGGACGTCCAAGAACTATTGGGCGCGTCTGCCGTGGCAGCAGGGAAAGCTTGTTCTGGCGGAGATAACGGAACCGTCTGTGGGCAGAAATGGTATGCACTCTTAAGCTCATCTTTTCACTCCACGCTTCGTACTAGAAAGGGTATGATATCTCAAGCTTCCGACAATCATTAACCCCAGATTTTGAACAGGTACGTCGGAGGATATGACGGGAATCCGGGCCTCAGCCAGCAAATGACGGCCCTCGAAACTGTGCAGGCGCTACTCGCCTTTAACGCGCAGCCACCTTTCAAATATGGCGAGATCAAACATGTCAAGGGTGAAACGCCACCAACCTCGACGAGTACGCCGTCGGTCACAGCGACCATGACAGCCGCGGCGTCGGCTACGCAAAGCGAGGATTCTGCTGCAAACGCTATCACAATTCGCTATACTACGATGCTTTTGGCATTGGTTACCTGTGTCTTTCTGTTCAGCATATAGGTCGAGGATGATAGAGTGGAAATGCTTGGGCAGCGGAGTTGGGTTCGGGGTTCTCATTTGCCTCTTATGAGGAACAGCAAGCATTAGAAGCCAGCAGCATGCTCTTCAGGCACACATAGATTCCCTATATGATCTTTCAAATGATTATTCAATCACGTTATTTTGAGATATTTGATCAAAATTGCCAGTAGCCCACTTGACTAACTAGGATTTACGTTTCGTTGAAGGACCATAACGGTTCAGCCCTAACCGTAGCCACCGGGAACAAGAGACCCATTTCGCCGCCGACGGACAACCGAGTATCATGGGTCCCATAACTCAGTTGGTCAGAGTATCGTACTAATAATATAACTAATCCATTCATGTTATAACATTGGTAATGCGAAAGTCGTGAGTTCGAGCCTCACTGGGACCAGGAGTTTCTCTTTTGCGCCGTTGGCGCGGGAATTGTCTTTTTTGCTCGGGTGTTATTGAATGTTGTAGCATCCTCTATATATAGATGGGTTGGGGAATCGTGCTGTGCCGCTGCGAGTAAAGGACCTTGGGTGAGCTAAGCCTTCCAGGTAAGAGAACCTTGTTGAACGTATTGTCTTCAAGGTTCATGTTGCTTCATCGATAAATTGGTTAGATGTAAAAGATATCAGAATTATGCATTTATACAAGTATTATGCAAGTGATGCGTCAATTGAATTTTCCCTTTTTCTGCAGGTACCTGCTCCGATCGGAGCTCCACAGTGACTGGTGCGCTAATGGCCTACCAGTGTGATTCTGAGTCAAGAAACTCAAAGCGATCATAAGAGGTAATGAGTGCTAAGTATCTTGTAGCGTTTGAGGTTACAGCAGAGGAAAGGAAATTACGCATTTCCATGAGAATTTAGGCAGAGAAGGAGAGAAGGATAACCACTTGCGCTGATCATACTGGTTCACGATGGGGGCGTTCAACCTAGAGACCTGTGCAAGGTCCAACATCTTGGCGCTCGAGCCGTACCGTTGTGCGAGAGAGTAGGGCACTCAAGAAGTCCTCGCGATGTCAGTCCCAGTGCTGACTTTTTTTTTCTAGCGACTACAAGGATGATGGCACAAATATCCTATTAGATGCCAATGAGAACGCCTATGGGCCCTCCTTAACAGCGGCCGCTGCCGCTTCGGCATCGTCAGCCACGGAGTCGTCAGGACCCGAGATCGACTTCGTGGGCCTGCACAGATATCCGGATCCTCACCAGCGGGAGCTCAAGCAACTCCTCTGCAATCTAAGGAACACTCACCATCACACAGACAAGACCATCACGCCCGACAACTTATTCGTCGGTGTCGGCAGCGACGAGGCCATTGATGGGCTCATGCGCTGCTTCTGTGTCCCTGGCCGTGACAGGATCCTCGTCTGTCCACCTACTTATGGCATGTACTCAGTGTCAGCGCAGGTGAATGACGTCGGTCTGGTCAAGATACCCCTCTTGCCTGCACCAACATTCGAGCTTGATGTCGCCAAGATAAGAGAGGCGCTGTTAAATGAGCCGAACATTAAACTAGTATATCTATGCTCTCCGGGAAACCCGACCGGGGCTCCGCTGGCCAAGGGGGATATACAGCAGCTACTTGAACACCCGACATGGAACGGCGTTGTCGTCGTCGACGAGGCGTACGTCGACTTCTCGCCCGAGAGCGCCTCGCTCGCCGAGTGGGTAGCTGAATGGCCGAATCTCGCCGTCATGCAGACGTCGTCCAAGGGGTTCGGCATGGCAGGCATTCGGCTCGGGTCTATATTCACATCGGAGCCGATAGCACGGCTTCTGAATAGCATGAAGGCGCCATACAACATCCCCAGCCCTACGAGCGCGCTCGCTATGTATGCGTTCTCTCCAAAGGGGTTAGCGGTTATGCGCGCGAACCGGGGAAAAATAGTGGCGCAGCGTGAGCGCTTGATTCGCGAACTACCTAAGATCAAGGGGGTGGGACGACTACGGGGCGGTGTCGAGAGCAACTTCCTTCTGTACGAATTGCTGAATAAGGATGGACAGCCCGATAACACAACGGCGCTCGCTGTGTATGAGAGGCTGGCTGAGAATAGGGGCGTGGTGGTGCGCTTCAGGGGCAAGGAGCACGGGTGCTTGGGATGTCTGCGCATCACCGTCGGGACGGAAGCTGAGGTCACGAGGTTCTTGGAGTCGTTGGAAAAGACCCTTGCTGAGGTCAATGGTCATGGTGATACCACAGCGCCTGAAGACGAGGAGAAGAAGGAGGTCGAGGCCAATGCTGTTATCTCCTAGACTTGGTTGTGGTATTAGAGTTTCTCGAATAGACAAAAATGCTCTTTTTTTACCAGTACGGCTTACATAAAGTTCTAAGCTTTTCAATCAGTAGATTTAATCAACACGCAAGGTTAATAGAGAATGCATTTGCAAACAAAGTGTCAGCTAGAAGAGTGTCATCCCGATGAGCAGGCCTGAATGAGGTCATACGGTTTGTCTCATAATAGTGCTTATAAGGATGCTCTGACGTTGAGCTGAACCCCGCCCCCACCTACTTACTCTCTTTTCGTGAATTTGTCTGGATCACCGTTCACTCACAGGTATTGAGATAGTACGTCTCATACGCGCAATAAAATAAATATCACACGAGCTAAGCGAGGAATTAGAGCTTTGAGCCTGGGGATTATAGGCCTTAAAAGCCAATCACCAAAGCAGCAGTCTTGTCTCACTCTGAGCGCCCAATGCACATAGAAGAAATCAGCGACGAGGTCGCAGAGCGTCTCAAGCTGGAGCAATCACAATCTCAACCTGAGACTAAAGCCGAACCATCGCAACCCGTCGCGACATCTTCAGAACATTCACAAGATGGCAATACATCAGCGCCGTTGTCGGCGGCCATGTTTCCAGAGCTCTCCCCCGGCCGCGCGATGACGGAGAAGAAGACAGTCGACGAAGTGGTCGCGGAGTTGAAGAGGACTCCTTTCTTCATGACGGAGCTGGAAGAGAATGACGAGACCGAAGCTTTCAAGGCTTTAGCTTATGAAGGGACGCCGTTAGAGAACTCATCGGAGTTCAAAGAGCAGGGAAACGAGTGCTTCAAGGCGCGGCGATGGGCTGATGCCAAAGAGTTCTACACCAAGGGTATACTGATCCTAGCCGCGGAGGAGCGCAAGCGGAAGCAAGGGGCAGCGGATCCGTCTTCACAGGCACCAATAAAAGTAAAACCGGAGGAACAGAGTGAAGAGCGGAGCAAGGACGACGAGGAGGAGAAAAAGAAGGAAGAGGCAAGAAAAGACGAGATCCGCCAGGAGAGAGCAACTCTCGAATCTCTATACGTCAACCGCGCAGCCTGCCACCTCGAACTCAAGAACTATCGTTCATGCTGGCTCGACGCATCCGCGGCGCTGCGCCTGAACCCGAACAACATCAAAGCATACTACCGCTCGGCACGGGCCTTCCTGGCCGTAGGCCGCATCGCCGAAGCAGACGACGCGTGCGCGCGGGGCCTAGCGCTCGACGAATCCAACAACGCCTTGAAGGCCGTAGCGCGCGACATCGTGAAGAAAGCAGAGGAGGCGTCGGCGCGGCAGCGGCGCGACGCCGAGAGGCTGGCTAAGGAGAAGCGGCGGGAGATGCTCATCAAGGCGGCGCTGAAGGCGCGCGAGGTCCGCACCCGGGTCACGGCGCAGCCGCCCGAGATGGAGGACGCGGGCATCAAGCTCGTGCCGGACCCGGATGACCCCGCCAGCCACCTGTGCTTCCCGACCGTGCTGCTGTACCCCGCGCACCTGGAGTCGGACTTCATCAAGGCGTTCAACGAGACTGACTCGCTCGCCGATCATCTAGCTTACGTGTTCCCGCTTCCCTGGGACCGAGAGGGCGCGTATACACTCGCTGGTGTCGAGTGCTACATGGAGACTGTCGCTGGGGGACTGGTCAAGCTCGGCAAGAAGGTTCCGCTGCTGAAGGCGTTGTCTGGTGGTAAGGTCGAGGTCGTCGATGAAGTTGTGCGCATATTTGTTCTGCCTAAGTCGCAGGCGGCTGCGTGGGTCGAGGAATTTAAGATGAAGAAGGCGGCGGAGAAGGGGTCACGATGTTCAGACTAGAAGAAAGAAAATAAATAAATACAACGTTTGAAGTTGAATACTGATATCCGAGCAGTGTCGGGCGTCAAGCAGTGACTCAACCCCTGTAGTATACCATTATTAGAGCTTACCTCGGGCTCAAGCTTAGATGACTAGGGGCCTTCTCAAAGATGTCTGCCAATGAACATAGTGAATCAAAAGAAAGCGGTAACTTGCAGATTAGATATTAAGAAACGAGTCAGCTTCGAGGCTATTATTCCCGCCATCTTCACTTAAATAATTATGACACACTCTGCTCACTCGGATTATTCACCAATTCAATTCTTTATACACGAGATGTGGTTAAGATTTTTATGCACGCTATAACTAGCCTTAATATTTAATAATTATCAGGATATTTTTAACTTAAGTAATTAATTATCTCCTTATTTATTCACTCAACTGGTAAGCAGGGTTTTAAACACGTATATTGGGGGAGCATAAGGACTATGAGGCCAAGGCTAAGGGTGGTAGGAAAAGGAAGCCTACTAGGTTAACTAGGCGTCGTACCTAGGCCTCCCTAGGCAGGCTGGCTTAAAAAACCTCCCGACCACCACTGAAAACCCACACTCTTCGTGGGAGGTGGAAAAAGGTGAGGTGACAGAGGAAAAACCCAGGCGCGTAGGGCGCGTGGCGAAGGCCCCTTTGTAAGGGGCCTGCTAAGTGCCCTAGGCGCTGCGCTAACCTGTTGGGGAAGAAAATCATTCATATATGTCTCGTGGGCTTATATCCTCAACCTTCTTCTTCTATAGAGAAATTAGAGGAGCTATCTTAGCTCGCAGGCGAAATAATGGAAAGTTCATGGATATAAATGAGAGCATTTCACCGCGAAATTTACCATGTCCCGAACAATAAGGGGATGGAAGAGAGAAAAATGAAAAAGAAAACACAGATGAAAGAAAATAGCCCTGTAGAACATGTCCTGCCCCCCTCCCGCGTCCCTTCATTGCCATGATGTGGTGCACTTGTCCTAGACGGAAGTCTTTCTATCATCCCATTCGGCCGCCCACGGGGCCAACAACCGGAATTTCCGAGGCGCCCTGTGTAGTTGGGAGATGTTCGGAATTTGTTGATTGAGCCGTCTGTTCCAACGGCGATTCTGTTCTCGTCTCCGTGTTCGGCTTGTGCCCCCCTATTAGTGTTTCGCCACTTGTTGTGCCGTTTTGAGGCACCATATTAACTCCATCTTGGAAATCGGAGGCGTCATTGGATGGTGCCAGAGAGCCATCTGTATGCTCTGATCCATTCCCAACCACGGTAATAACAGGCGCCTCGGTAGAGCTCCCAGCTGTCAGTGATACACTATCTGTATCCGTTGGGCG